ATCTATGAATAATAATTTTTCTTTATCATTCCAACCAACAACAGTGGCGGAGGCAGCATTTCAAACCACCCCTGTCCTCTTTTCATTAGGGGTGGCTATACGGTCCGGTCCGGTTAAATTGGCCCAAATTGATCCGGTCCAGTCCGGTTTTTTTGAAAATATAAGGACCGAAGATTGGATTGGATACAGTCCGGTCTTGATCCGGTCCGGTCTTGACCCGGTCCGGTCCCAATTCGGTCTTGATTTTATATTGAGATTGTGGGAATTTGAGAGGCCTAAGGCCTAAAAGGGTGAGGAGTTGGTTAAGTTTTGTACTAAGTGTAAAGGTTTGTGACCGTTTATGCAAATTACTCTTAAGTTTTGGGTGTTGAGCTCTCTTATCCGGTTTTTTACCTCAAATCTAAGCCCAAAGATTGGATTGGATTGTTTACTATACGGTCCCGGTCCGGTCTCGGTCCGGGTTATACGGTCCGGTTTCCGGTTTTTCATCCGGTCCCGGTCCAAATAGCCAGCCCTACTTTTCATAACTTAAATATATAAGTATTTAATTAAAATTTATTTAATAATAAATAATTAAAAATAATTAAATCGAAATAATTCATTAATAGATTAAAAATAACGACTATACAATCATAGTTTTCAGAAACAACTACGAAGGGATTTCATATTGTGAAAGAAACGCAAAAACATTCGTTGTCTACACTATTAAATAAGTCTCTTTCAATGTATCTAACTAAACAAGCATTAGCAAATTGGTCGCCAAATCGACTTGGAAACTTGTTCTTGATACAACTCAAAGTTGCAAATGCTCTTTTCACACTCGCAGTTGTAATTGGTAGAATCAAAACTAGTGGAATTGACGCTGTTGCTAGACAATTTCAGGGTTTTGGGGAAAAGATCGAATACGCATAAGGAGAAAAGATATCCAACTAGATATTTATTGCAATTGAAATTTAGTTTATTGTATAATAAATTAATTTGATGTCAATTTTTGAATAAGTAATGAGTTGTTTTGTAGTGTCAAAATACTCAAATACTACCCATATATTGGTGTATGTTTGTTCCTCGAAAATTTACCCGTCCCAAGTCAAGGCCCAAAGGGCCTGCCTGCGCCAATGACAACATGTTAACTTTCACAAGTATACTCACATTACAGAATACAAAAATTACGATAATAAATCACTATAATGAAGAAAATAAATAAAAATAACACAATTTCATGAAAATATATATTTGTATCCCAAATATAAAATATGTTGAGAAAAATAATGATAATTTCTATACAAAGTACATGTGCATGTCTATAATCGGGCGGGTTCGGGTTGGATAGTGAGAAAATCATGCCCACCCATTATCCGTAGTATTAGGGTTCGGGTTTTACACGTACCCGCCAAAAATCATTCGGGTTTGAGTTTTACCATAACCGATTAAGTCGGATTCGGGCGGATATCCACGGTTTCGTATATTTTTGTCATCCATATAGAGAAACATCTAATGGTCTATATCATAGAGGGACAAGGAGGAAAATAAGAGAATGTGAGTTGGTGCGGATTCTCGGGCGTTTGTTAATCGATTTTTTAAATCTTCAACAAAAATTTGATGAACCATACCTCATTCATTTTAAATCGGATTTCAAAAATTATGCATTGAAATATTAGTTTTTTTTTACTCTACAAGATGATATCCATTTTGATATTTTTGGAGAAAAAAGTTCCAGGTCAGTCTACCACTGTCATGTCACGATATTACCAATAACTATTGTCTTCCTTATTTGCGACAAATTTATTATGAATATTAGTCTTGCCGAATGGCTAATTGAAGAGTTGCACACAACCTAATGAAGAAGAAGGATGGACAGGAATCACAATGGTACCAACTTATTAATATGCGCGTGGATTAATTTGATATCGAAAATCTACCCAACCCACCATTGTCCACCTCCGATAACAACCTAACATTGAAGTGTTCGGCATTGAAATTCCATGGTTTGATTGCGCATATTTTTAGGTAGAATTGCATTCTAAATGCAGAAGTATCATTTTGAGCAAAAAAAAAAAATGTTTTCAATTTGACAATGTCGCCTTCCACCCCTAAAATTCTGAGTTGGCGATAGTTGTAATTAACATTCCACCAACACCACATTCCACAACAAAATTTCACCCTTCTGGACGTCTCACGATTTTATCATTGGACTTCATTCTAAAAGTCCCATAACATCCAAAATGGTGTTATATTCAGAGCTCTTATTTAGGTTTGTTTTTTGAGTCATCTCATGATCTTGGTCTACATATCGTCAAATACATCTTTTATTCGTTCCTCGGAGAAAATATTAGCATTTTAGGGTGTATTAGATGATATGAATGTTTTAGGTACAAAAAGGGCACAAGTGTAGAGAAATGTGCAAAAACATAAGATCACGGTCAGTGCATGATCGATCACGGTCGGGAACTAAGGACGTGAAGCTGAGCACCGAGATCACAACAAGTGAGCTAGGAATAGAAAGTCTAGATAGTCGACTCACGCCCCTCTTCATCCGAGCTCGCTAGAAGATCGCGGCCGCGAATAACGGATCAGGACCGTGCAGTCAGGCCACGAACTTGCTAACCAACAAAGCGCAAAATGATGAAGCTCGAGATCGCGACCGCGATGTTTCCTAGTTCAACCGTGAACTTGCTCGAGACCCTGAAATTTATAAATAGTGGGTTCGTCCCCCCATCATTTAAGGGAGTTGAAATCAATTGAGAATTTTCTGGTTTTTGAGAGAGAAGGTAGAGACAGAAGCTGAAGGAAGGAGAAGAAAAGAAGGAGGAGTCAAGGAGGAATGAAGCTCTCCCCCAATTCCAGTCTTCTTCTATTTCTCTACATGTATCTTCTTGCCTTTTTTATGGAGTAGTACTCTAAGGTACTAGAGGTTAAAATCCCCAAACTCTAGAATTAGGTTTTGAATGTAGATGTAATTGTGTTAGGGTTTGTATATGGATTTCTTTGTTTCAGTGATTAATGCTTAATTTATGCTTGATTATGTTGGGACTTGTCTCTTCATCTCTTCTCTTCTAGTCTATAACTGAGTCTTCGAATTAGGTGGGAGTTTTAGAGCTAGACTTTATTTGAGCACCTTATGGCTAATTACGGGTAGATGAGCGATCTTAGGGTTCTTTTTAGTGGACGAGACGACTGCACCCCTGCTAAGGAATCCCTTCCTGAACAATGCTAGAGATGATGCAAGCGTCATCAATACATCTCTTAGTGTGCATGATAGGTTGAACCTATTGAGAGGGACTAAGTAATCATTCCCTAGTATTTGACCTTTGACTAAAGTGATAATGGGTCTTTGGGACTGTACTAGAAGGAGGGAAGTAATCATTGAAATTTGAAACCCTCAATTGAGCTAGTTCTATTACTTATCCAACAAACCCAACATAGTTAACCATTTGCATGATGAAACTGAGTTTAGGGCGAGAGAGTTACCTCGAAGTACCTGCTTTGTATCTTTGTCACTATACTAGCAACGCATGTTGAGTTATACTTGGCTCGAAATGGGTTAGTTAGTCAGGTCGTGCAAACAATTGAAATGTCCCGCACATGATTCAACCAAAATCTCAAATTCAAATCTATTAAATAACATATTTATGTTACCTTAAGAAAAGTGTCAAATCTATTAATTAACAAAAGTGCCACGTATAGGGCTGCAAATGAGCTTGAGCTCGGCTTGTTAATAAACTAGTTGCGTTCGAGCTTGACTCGTTTACTAACGGGTCGAACCGAGTTCGAGCTAGCTTGGTTAATAAAATCTTGACTCGTATTTGATATTATCATTCTGTATGTCATGTATAATACATGTGATTAATATCAAGATGAAAATAATAATTATTATAGTTAAGTGTTCAATATTATATAAACTCATGTTATATTTTGTGATATTATATTATTTAGTTAATTAATTTTAACTAGTCATATAATTTCATACTATGTTATTTCATAGTATCGAAGCAATCCATGATACATAATTTCTTTTTAGAATTAAATAGGACATATTTGCTCACATAATCTACGTGTAAACTTTATATAGGGTGAGATATATAATTTAACAATCTTATGAATTATCAAAATCAACATGTTAGTAAACGAGCCAGCTCAATATTGAGAATTGAGACATCGATCTCATAAGCTCTAAACGAGCCAGCTCACGAGTCGAGCTAGCTCGGGAGCTATAGAGGGCTTAGCTCAAACTCGACATGTTAGTAAACGATTCGACTTTCAAACGAGTTTTTTCTCGAGTTGAACGCCAAGCCGTTCACGAGCAACTCAACTCATTTGTAGCCGTAGCCACATGCCGCCATTCCATAGAATATAAGTCGCATTTTGATGATAAAGTTCTGTCGTGAAAGATAGTTAAGAACATCGGAGGTGACGTTTGGCGGGGTGATTAATACAATGCTCATCTCCTTTGATTAGCTCTCCCTCAAAAACGTTAGCCTAGAACACTCTATGCATGTTTAGGTCAAACATAAGCTTGAACAACTCATAGTCTGCGCAGCATATTCTCTCCACAACCCTTTCGGCCACGAATATGCAAACTTCCGGTCATTCCTCGCCAATAACTTCCTTAGGTTTGGTCTTGTTAGGATATGACTTGAATTTGATTTAAGTTTGTTTTGTGTTTTGGGCCCGATTGTTTGGGTTTGAGATTGGGTTTTGTTTTGACCTTTTCCTTGTATGTTTGGGAAAAAGGTATTTGATTTTCTGTTTGCGATTAGGAGAAGAGTTCTATAAATGCGCTTCATCTCCCTAATCTGTAGTAAGGTCAGTCGGGTTAGTTTGTTTGGTTTGTCCGTTCCGAAATTTGGTTTGTAATCTGAACTCTCCTCAAATTAGTGAAATTTGTTCTCCCTTGCTCTTGGATTAGCTAGCACAAATTGTGTTGGTAAACCACGTTAAATTTATATTCGTTCGTGCTAATCTGGATTATCGATTGCACGCTTTTGTTCCGACACTTCTATATATAAGCATAGCGCCATCGTATCATGTAATCCTAATCCCAACCCACATTCCACAGTACAAATGGACCATTCAATTTCCAAGTACGAAACTCTCCTTCTCTTCGTTGTAGTACCGCTACTACTTCTCCTTTCAATCAAACAAATCAACTCGAAGAGGACGAAGAAGAAGAAGAGGAAGAAAGAACTCCCTCTGCCTCCAGGCCCAAAACCATGGCCCCTCATCGGAAACATCCCACACATGACCAGAAAGGTTCACATCACCATGACCCAATTCGCCAAATCCCACGGACCCTTAATCTCACTCAAACTCGGAGCTCAGGTGATTGTCGTCGCCTCTTCTCCGGCCGCCGCAGCCGAAATCCTGAAAACCCATGATCGTATCCTCTCGGCTAGATATGCATCCAACTCCAATCCGTTCAAACTCGGCGATATCGACCGAATGGCAATCGTGTCAGCCACGACGTGTAACGACAGCTGGAAGTCCCTTCGAGCGCTCTGTAGGACAGAGCTTTTCTCCGGCAGAGCAATCGAGTCGCAGTCCGCCCTCAGGGAGAGGAAAGTTTGTGAAATGGTCGGATTCCTAGCAGCTAGAGAAGGGAAAGTTGTGGACTTGGGGGAAATTGTGTTCACCACCGTTTTCAACTCGCTATGCAACCTTTTCTTCTCCGAGGACTTGTTGGTCTTGGAAGATGGAAAGGGGAAAGCTAGTGGGTTGAAGAGTCATGTTTCGAAATTAATGGAGCTCGCAGCTACGCCCAATATTGTTGATTTTTACCCTGTGTTGGAACTGTTTGACCCTCAGGGTCTGAAAAAGAAGATGATCAAGGCCGTCACGAAAATGTTCTCCGTTTGGGAGAGTTACATCAAAGAAAGAAGGGAAATTCTTGAATCGAGATCCCGTGGAGATGCTCCGAAAGGAGATTTCTTGGACGTTTTCATTTCAAATGGTTTCGACGATCAAAAAATCAATTGGCTGTTCTTAGTAAGAACTACTCTTTCCAGTCAAATGCTTTCTTACTCTGTTTTTTCTTAATTCTGCTTTTCTCCGACTCTTTTTTTTTTCTTACTCTGTTTTTCTTTACAGGAATTGCTGACAGCGGGAACAGAGACCACTACAACTACAGTGGAATGGGCCATGGCGGAGCTACTGAAGAACGGTAAAGAAATGAAGAAAGTTCGCGAAGAGCTGAAGAGAGAAATTGGGGGAAACTCTATTACTGAAGCGAACGTCTCTCGGTTGACATTTCTGAACGCCTGCATCAAGGAGACATTCCGGTTACATCCTCCGGTACCGTTCCTAATTCCACACTGCGCTCAGGAGACTTGCGAAATAATGAATTACAGAATACCAAAGGATTCCCAGGTGATGGTGAACTTGTGGGCGATAGGGCGGGATCCGTCCGTTTGGGAGGACCCATTGTCGTTTAAACCCGAACGATTCATTCGCAAGAGATCATCAACCATTGTAGACTTCAAAGGTCTTCACTTTGAGCTTTTACCGTTCGGGTCGGGTCGGAGGGTATGCCCTGGACTTTCAATGGCAGTTAAGCAATTGCCGTTGATTCTAGCTTCGTTGATTAAAGGGTTTGATTGGATTCTTCCTGACGTTGACGGTCCGGCCAAATTGGATATGGCCGAGAAGTTTGGAATTACGTTACAGAAGGAACAACCTTTGCTACTTGTGGTCGGAAAACAGAGCATGTGATGTTGAAGGGGAGACTCAAATCCCGGGTGGAGCAAGTTTGGTGCGAGTGTTTAAATTTGAATGTGAATGTTAGGTTAATTAGTCTTTAGTCCTTTGAGTTTATGACAAGTGTCATTTGAGTCCTGTTGGAGTTTCTTGTTTTCGAGGATCATGGGGTTAATGGTTGTTGCTCAACTATCGAGTTTGGTGGCTGGCTTTAGGGTATTTAACTATTTATCCTTCACTTTTGTCAAATAAATAAAACTAGCAAAAGCCCGCTAGCTATCCTTTCGCGTATCTGAAAAATAAATATTTTTAATAGTAATAGTCTTAATATTTAGTCATAAGTGAAAGTAATTCTATTTCATTATTAATCATTCGCATCATAGATTTGTTCTTTACAATAGCATATGGTCAATGAACTTGCATAATGTTGTAGGGTTGTCGAATAGATTATTTATGTTTAAACTTATTTCATGACGCTATTGTTTCAATTTGTATGGATAGTAGTTGATCTTGCTGTAACTTTTGCAGAATGAAGCAGCTTTTCTGGATATTTTCAAGAAGTATTAAAAAAAAACAATTGAGTGTTTAGCTAAAAACTATTAGAATTACTTACTAATATAAGAGGTAATGTAAAATATCTAAAAAATATTTCTTACATAAAATATGAAAACAAATTCTAAAAATAAAAAATTATTTAAAATGGATCACGTTAAATCCGTTTATTAATTAATATAAATTTTCAATTTAATTTTTTATAATGATATAAATGAAAGAAAATTATGTTGTCTAGAAAATGAATAATCTATGTAAACACAATATTGTATTTTCAAATCGGAGCTTCTATGTTTAAGTTAATAAATACTTTCACTTTTTAAAAAGCGAAACTTTAGAGGTGTTTGGCTTGGATTCAACTTGTAAAACATAAAAGTTCTAAAATTCTGGCCAAACATAGTCATACTCTTTTGGCGTTTTTTGGGTTTGAGGTAATCGTGGTTCTCCTTTACGATTTTTTGGACTGATTGCAGGTTTGAGGAGGTCCATCTCGCATTGATAGGGTCAACTTAGGTTGGATACCCATGGATTTGGGTTCAATTGTCTTTCTCACACAAAAGGAAAAAGGCAAAATGTAACACACTAAAGCTAAAACTCGCTACCGACTCAAAACTCGTCAACACCAGTTTCAACTCGCTTTGGGCAAATTCACACCTGACACAACCCGCCAATTAAAAAAAACAGATTAAACTCGCTCCCGCTGGAACCTATAAAATCGGGTTCAAGTTGCTTTGGTCAAGTCGAATTAGGTTGGATACGCATGATTTTGGACTCAATTGTCATTCTCAACCAAAAGAAAAAACATAAAAAATACTAAAGCTGATAATACTCGTTCACGGCCACAAACTATCAACGCTGCGTTCAACTTGATTTGACTAGGTTGACCCAATTTTAACAAATTCACAATTTACCCAACCTGTCAATTACAAAAGCGGATAAAACTCGCTCTCGATACGAAACACGTCAGCAATGGGTCAGAGTTCAATTGTCATTCCCAACGGAAAAAAATGATAAATAAAAAGACATTAAAGCGTACAAAACTCATTTTCTATCTAAAACTGGTCAACAACGTATTCAAGTCGTTTTCTTCTCTTTTTATGATGTGGAGAGCTCTTTATAGCTTTACCCTTATTTGGGCGAGCAAAGACTTAGAAGTCCCTTTACTTCAACTCGTGCAGAGGGTCAATGAAATTAAGTGGTGTCAGAAGCTTTATCCATGCTCTTAAGAACACATCCTCAAGTTGGCAATCACCTCGATGGGTAAAAATTATACTTGTAATAGAGAGAAACTACCATCACCTTTTAGGACTTCCTCAATGGACTAAAAAATAGTGATCTTTGGAAGAGTTTTAAATAAAGTACCCAACTTGTCATACAAATTTGGAAATAAGGCTTGAGCACTTCTACTATGCTTTAAAGCATGAGTTCTTTAAAGTACAACTTGAAGTTGTACTATAACGTTAAAGGTACAAATTGAAGTTGTACAATAAGAAAATTTTAACTTTTACGTTATGGTACAACTTCAAGGTACAAATTTAGTTTGTACCTTAACATAAAGGTGAAAAATTTAGTTTGTACAGTACAGGGATTTATACAAAAATTATAGGTAAAACGTGTGGTTGTACCATAACGTTGAAGGTACAACTTCAAGTTGTACCATAAAAGCAAAAACTTAAGCACCAATACATTAAAGCATAGTGAAATTCCTCATTGGGCTTAGGCTACTAGCACTTATCATATTTAGCGAAATAGTACATCAAACAAAAGCAAACAAGAGAAACAAATGAGAGAGCTAGTGCTTCAACTCCTAAATCTAAAGCAAAACAAACAGATATATGTTACTTCCATTCAAAGAACATGCCCTCATCGGATGGCCAATCAGCATCTGACGACTCTTCATATCCCCATCCAGTGCGTATGATCATGGTAGGCTCCATGGGGCATGGATTGAATCGAATTTCTTGTATGAAATCTTGAAAGTCCTATGATGCTTCATACTCTAGCTCCTCCGTCTTATCTATCAATATCTTTGACATTGCTATCTTGAGTGCCATTTGTGCTTGCTTCAACTCCGGAGTTGGTGGAGCTTCTTTTAACTTGTCTCCCCATTCCAGGTTCTCATTTTAGTGCTGATATGTTGCATGTAAGGAATCCTTATATAGAGATCCTGAACGAGTCTTGATCTATATCTCTGGCTCCATATCTTCCTTCTCCTCGAAATTATCATCTTCAATGGCCTTATCCTCTTTATTTTCTTCAATAGACCCTACTACTCGATGCATGAGCTCTCTTACTTGTAGGGTGATCTCTCTCTTTGCCACATTGATCATAACTTCGTTAGTGGCTAGAAATGTTCTGCCATAGATTAGGTAATATGGGGTTTCTATCTTCATCTCAATCACCATATAGTCTAGAAAGAAGACGAAGGACCCAATTTGGGTGCTTAAGCTGCAAAGTATTCCAAGACGTTGGCATGGAGTATTATCTATAATTTTGATCTCCATATCTATGTCTTCCACATCAGCAAAACCCATATCCTCGTAGAGAGCAAGTGGTGATGCTAGAGCCAAGATCTACCAATCCTTGCTCCACATAATGGCCATCTAGGAGACAACTGATTGTGTAATGACCATGATCCTCCTCTTCATATACTTGAATGAGCTCTTTAATTTCATAAGGAATTGAACTAATGATGGCCTTCTCGATCTTCTCCTTTCTTACAAGGTGCTCGAGCTTCTCCTTTGGGCTCTCCATAACAATGATGCTCTCCAAAAGTGGCATATCACTCTCTCATTCTCTTAAAGCTTCTATTTTCTTCTTCAACATTGAGGATTGTTGAGAGGCTTCTTCATGGATGGCCATCTCCTTTGAGGTTGTCTCATCATTTTTGTCCTCTTTCTTATCTTGAGATGCCTACTCATATGGGCTTGAGCAGGATTTTTTTATTTAAAAACCCAAGGATTTATTAAAGGTTTGAGGCATGATGGATTTGAAATAAGTTTTTGTTTGTTGAGATGTTTTGATCATGGATTTAAGGTTTTGGGATTTAGAAGTTAAATTCCAAAATTACCTTAGGGGTTGTTTCGATGGAACATTCTCAAAATGAGGCAATTTGGGACAATAGTCTCATTTTAGAAAATGAACTAATTGTATGAGGAAATGTTTACATAATTGTCTTGTTTGGCTTATTATTTGGGATGAGACAATTCGAATGAAGCATTTTATGAAAATATCTATTCGCCCTCATTCTTTTACCCTTCTCCATCTTTTTCTCTTACTAACAGAAACCCATAAATTTACCAACCAACAACAAAGATATCCCAAAATCCATTTTCCTTGAATCAGTATAATCATCACGCCAAAATTATAATTACAACACTAACAAAACACAATCATCAATCAAATATTTGCTAGAGGAAGAAAACAAGATGATTGAGTAGGAAACGAACAATCCTGATCCTTAAGCCATGGCTATAATGTCGTTGATTCGGGTCTAAATGCACACATTTTACCCGTCATTTCTTGATAGTTTGACTTTGCCTTTCATCGTCTCTCAACGTATTTTACGCTAGGCTGTGCTTGTTTTGTCACATTTCAGGTCCTAGCACATGGGGGAAGGTCGAGGACGAGTTTCGGGTCGATTGGAGGTCGAAAAGCGCGAAAAGTGAAGAAACGTGACAATTGCCCCGAGACCGTGAAGTGCGGAGGTTCCGGAGCAATTTTCGGTCTCACTAGACTCAACTTAAGCCCCAGACATGAAGTGACTTAGTGAAACAGTCTGAAAGAATGTTCATGGCCGTGAACTAGGACCGTTAACAACCATCAACCTGGGTATAAAAGGGGAAGTAAGCTGAAGGAGAAGGGGAGCTTTTTGGTAGGTTTTTAGTGTGTAGAATAAAAGAGGGTTTCTAGTGAGATTAGGGTTTTCTCTTCCTATTCTAAAGAGAGAAAGTGCCATTCAAAGGAGGAAGAAGGAGATTTGGGCTTGCCCTGAGCTAGAGGATTGAAGGTTTCTTCTTCTCAAGGGAGATTCAAGCTACAAGGAAGGAAGATTGTCATCTCTTCATGGTTCTTTCTCTAATATTTGTTGAATTCCTTTGCCTAGCTATGAAATAGCCTACCTACTAACTTGGTTATTGTGAATCCTAGTATAGATGTGTGTTAGGATGTAAGAACTTGATTCTATTGTCTTGATTGTGTGTTCTATATAATATTTGGGGTATTAATCATGAATGATTGGGTTTTTCTTGCATTATCTCATTATTGGGTCAAATTAACCTAGAAGGTGGAAATCTCCCTTTGCCCCATAGGGAGCTTGATCTCCTAGCCACTTCGGTAACCCTTTTGGGTTAATATAGTGCCAAAACCTCAAGTATCGGAGTAGTACCATGACCCCTTCATGATTGGTCGCTCTTCGCCGTTCGGATTAACTTCCAAGGGTTGGGTCTTGCAACCCTTAGTTGATTAGTTAAGAGGGCTAGATTGTCTAGCCTATGTTGTCATCCTTAGCCGAAAGGTTAAGAGAGTTAGTCTACTAACTTAGTGCAACAATCCTAAATTGGTCAACTAAGAGAGTTAGGGTTTCCTCGATTTGTTTGGTTAAGAGAGCTAGGCCTCCTAGCTTATTGTTGCAATCCTTAGCCGAGCGGTTAAGAGAGCTAGGTTTGCTAGCTTAATGTAGCAATCATTGATTGATCTACTAGGAGCGGTTAAGAGAGCT